CATGTGAAGCATCAGCTACCCTGCTGCGCACCGCTATTTATTTCTAAGCAAAATTCGGAAGAGAGGAAAGGGACAGTTTTGTCAGTGGGTGTTACCATTCGATATAATTCCGAATACCCCCACCTTTCATAGCCAGTGAACGTGAGACTTTCTACTTTTGATTTCCAAAAATGAGTAAGACTGTTCAAGTTTCAATCAAATCTAAGCAATGATAACGCTTGATGAAAAGATAACGGCATAGCAGCAAGGCAAAAATTATGGTTGATAAAAAGACAACCTTCATATTTCTTTCGGGCACTGCTACCTCACCAATGTGCCCCAAAATTTCATCTACGTTTTCTTCATTCAACCACGTTCCAGCATCACTACTACTGCCACTGCTCTCATTATCATCGTTATCACTATCGGCGTTATCTTTGTCATCTTCCGTACCTTCCTCCATTTTTTCCGTTATCGACGGCATTTTCAGGTCATCAACTGCACTCTGCAAAACAATTTATTTTCTATGGGCATCCACACGCATTTTTTTAAAAAACGACTTTGGAAGACTAATTAAAAGAGAAAAATTTTTGAAATGTCTTCACAGTTAAATGAACTTCACCAATATTAGCTTCGTTTATTCCATGAAGGGAAAAATCTATAAAAAAACAAAACTGCGTAGTTGACTACAACAGCTTATTATGTTTGAAACATCTGAACTGTTCCCCAGCCATAAAACTCGCAATTTTTCGAGTTCCTCTGACCACTTTTGCATCGTCTTGTTAACAGAGTCTCCTAGTGAACAAGCACAGCAAAGTACTCTTCGATTTTACTGCTGTCAGAACTCCTGACTGGCGTAAATTTCAAAGCTTTAGCGAAATCAGTGTACTTTCAAACGAATCAATGATTGAGTCTTTAGTGTGCCGATTTTTTAACACACGCTTACAGCTGTGTAAAAATTAAAGGCGTTTCGTGCTACTGTATTTTTATAGATGCTAATAAGTAGGTTAAGAGTCCGTCAGACATTCTCTATGAAAAGAACGAACACACGAAAGTGGGCCTAGCAATAGCCACACAAAAAAGTTGTTGATAGCTGATTAGAAAAAGCTGATTAGATACACCTGATTAGAAAAACGATGATGATTCCGACTAAAAAATGCATCAGTGCCACTTTTATCATTCGGAAGATTCAACTGTTTTATCTTCCATAATTTTAAATAAGGTGCGTCTACGAGTCCCTAAATC